AACCTCACTCCTTTGTAATAACTAAGGCAAAAATGTAATTAATTCAGAAAATCTTTTCAGGACCCCACCTTGATGTTTCGGGACCCCACTTTGGGTCCCGACCCCAACTTTGGGAAACACTGCTTCAGGGTAAGTGCCACTAATATTTAGATTGGTGCTGCCCACCTCTGTGTTTGGGACAGTTAACCCGCCTGTACAGGAGGTACAAAGGATGGATGGACAGTCCATTTTCTGCAATACTTTCTGTATTTTATGGAATTTCTGCTTAAATAAAATGTGTTTATTGATATTAAAGAAAATTTGATAACTATTTCTAAAGATTAATGACTTAAATACCCATGTTTAATAAACATAATTCTAACTGGATTGAAATTTAAGTTTGAAGTGGTTTGTCTTCAGTATAAAGTATCTCTCATGATGAGATTATTTGATTAAAAAAACGTGTTTAAATGAATGTAAATGTAATGTAATTCACTTCCGGTCCTGCAGGCGGCGCTGCTGCTCTCTGCAGACGCCGTTCTTCCTGAACTTCCGGTGTGCCGGATGTAAACAGAGGTAGCTGCAGGAAACATGACCAAGCTGGAGCTGTTGAACGTGTTCCTCACCGACAGGCTGACGGCGGCGGCTGAAGAGATCTTCCGCGCCGTTAAAGACACGGTGGCGGAGTACCAGAGCGAGGTGCTGCGGTCCAGAGAGGAGAACGAGCGGCTCCGGCGGCTCCTGAACGCCGCGGTCCAACACCTCCTGCCGTCAGGTGCGCGCTGTGTTTCGGTCATCTTCACTCAGAACCGAGTTTTAATGGAGCTGTGGATGGAGACGTGCTGGTTCCCTACAGAAATCTTTATTTAATCTGGTTTCTCTGTCTTTGTCACAAAAATATATTCATACAAYCCAAATGTAGTGAGTTTATAATTTATAATTTATAATATAAAAAATGTTCGGTTCTAATCTTGACTAAATGACTGAAATCCAAATGTGCAAAGTAAGATAAATATATTTGGGTTTGAAGGCAACTGGAAGAAACCTCAGGTTCAACAAAGCTGGGCTTTCTTTATACAGTTTTAATCCCACACAAATCTAAAATCTGACAGTGGATTCACATTCAAAACCTACAAAATAACAAAACCGTGTTTAACTCAAGTATGAAGGAAGTTCATGTTTTTTTAAGTTAAACTTTATAACAGAACCAACAGAATCTTATCTAATGTATTATCTAATTTCCCTCTGGGATCAATAAAGTCTTTTTGAATTGAATTGAAGCTTTGTGACCATTTGATTTGGTCTCTACTTCTGCTCATAACTTCCTTAATGTTCCAGATGTTTCCCTGATATTTGTAGGGAGTGTTTCACAGACTGTTTTTTGTTTGAAACATCCAATTATGAAAACTTTCTAAAACCCAACGTAAAAGAAGCAGAAGATGTATAAATTAATGTTTAAATCTCACGTCACCAAACGGCAGCATCAAATCAACTTAAAGCCAAGAAATGAAAACATTTAAAAACCATGTGGACACCTGTTCTGTAAACTGTGTGGAAGATGAGGATCAACACACTTTACTGTTCTGCACCTCCATGCTTGAAATCATAACCAAATTAGGAATAAAGGCAGATGGAGTTCATGTCAGCTTATTTAAAGGTCACTGGGAAAACTTGATTGAATTTCAGCCTGTTTTCAGTGAAGTGGTCCTGCAGATGGCAGCGTTCAGATCAGCATCTTTAACATCAGAGTTGAGCTGTTTGATAATCTAACATCAGATAATTGTTTCTGCTTGGTAAGCTTGTCTCAGGTCCATCCTAAAGGCAGGAACCCTAACGATGTTTTCTTTGTGTTTTTCAGAGCCGTACTCCGTCTGGTCCCAGCTGGACGTTCGTCTGTGTGAGTCCGACASGAGGAGCGGCGCAGAGCTGCTGGCTCAGCTTAAAGAAGGAGAGCTCAGAGGAAGTCAGACTGTAGCTGCACAGGAAGCAGAGGACCACACTGAGGGGAACGGCAGCCGTGTTCAGCAGCAGGGGTCACGCCTTCTGTCAGACCCTGGAGCCCCCCCATCCTCAGTGACGCCTGTAGAGATAAAAATAGAAAATGAGAAACAGCAGCCAATCAGCAGCTTATCAGCTCCTTCAGACTGCAGAACAGCTGAAAGCCACTCCTCCTCCTCTGGGGAGAGTGACAGGCCGTTAAAAAGTAGCCCGCAGGTGAGGGGGGGCCCACAGGTGAGGGGGGTCCTTTGCTCCAACAGCAAACAAAGCATGGTGCCCGTCAGGAGTGGGAGGTCCCTGAAGCTGCCTCTGCCTCGTTTCTCTCAGCCCAAGCCGAGCATCCAGAGGTGGCACAGCTGCAGGGAGTGCGGTAAGAGCTTCAGCTTCGCCTGCCAGCTGGAGGTGCACATGCGCTGGCACACCAAGGAGAAACCCTACAGCTGCGCAGTGTGCAGGAAGAGCTTCACCACGGTCAGCATGCTGAAGAGGCACCACCGCATCCACACCGGAGAGAAGCCCTTCCACTGCCACGTCTGCGGGAAACGCTTCAACCAGTCAGCTCACCTCAACACCCACTTCAGGCTCCACACCAAGGAGAGGCCCGGCAGGAGCTGAGGAGGAGGAGGAGGTGCCTGGCACCAGGAGCCAGACTCACATGCAGCTGTTTAACCAGAACTTAACCCGTTTACCAACCACAATTCAACTAGTTTACCACCAACAGGTCAACCAGTTTACCACCCACAATTCAACTAGTTTACCACCCACAGGTCAACTAGTTTACCACCCACAGTTCAACCAGTTTACCACCCACAATTCAACTAAACTAGTTTACCACCCACAGGTCAACCAGTTTACCACCCACAATTCAACTAGTTTACCACCCACAATTCAACTAGTTTACCACCCACAGTTCAACCAGATTACCACCCACAGGTCAACCAGTTTGCCACCCATGGGTCAACCAGTTTACCACCCACAGTTCAACCAGTTTACCACCCAGCATTCAACCAGTTTACCACCCACAGTTCAACTAGTTTACCACCCACATTTCAACCAGTTTACCACCCAGCATTCAACCCGTTTACCACCCACAGGTCAACCAGTTTACCACCCACGGTTCAACCAGATTACCACCCACGGTTCAACCAGATTACCACCCACAGGTCAACCAGTTTGCCACCCATGGGTCAACCAGTTTACCACCCACAGTTCACCCAGTTTACCACCCACGGTTCAACCAGTTTACCACCCACAGTTCAACTAGTTTACCACCCAGCGTTCACCCAGTTTACCACCCACAGTTCAACTAGTTTACCACCCACAGTTCACCCAGTTTACCACCCACGGTTCAACCAGTTTACCACCCACAGTTCAACCAGTTTACCACCCACAGTTCAACTAGTTTACCACCCACAGTTCAACTAGTTTACCACCCAGCGTTCAACCAGTTTACCACCCACAGGTCAACCAGTTTACCACCCAGCGTTCAACTGGTTTAACATCCCAGACTTTAACCTTCCATATATGAACTGATTAAAGACCATGTAAAGTAAAAATAAATGTGTGTTCTGAGGTTGTCACACCACAGTAATATGTGTTAAAAATCACCCAGCCAAGTTTGAACAATTARAAATACTGTTGACCTTATAAAATTATGTGTTAAAAGTAATGAAAAAATATCAGTTAGCTGTGGTCTGGAATGCTGGGGGCGTGTCTGCAGTAGGAGCTTAAACCACGCCCACGATCCTGAACATWCCTGTAACCAAGGAAGCAATGTTCGATTTCTTTTCCATTAGAGCAACAGGGGGTGAGGTTATACTGAAGGCAGCTGCGTGACATCACGAGGCTGCCCTTTAAGACATGCCCAAAAAATCCTGAAACAGATACACAAATTAAATCATATCTCCACTATTCAAATATCTACAGTTGAGAGAATTTGTACTCATTTACAAGAACCCATKTATGACATTTCTAATGTTTAAAAAAGAAAATGTTACATTTTACTTTACACGGTCTTTAAACAAGAGTGAAACCTTTTAACCAGTCAAAGCTTGACTGGTTTAACCAGAGTTCAAGTGGTTTAACTTCTCAGAGTTAAACTGGTTCCTCACCCAGAGTTAAAACATTTACAGTGATTGTCTTTGTCTGTTCTTATTGTCCAATAAAGTTGTTGATGTTGAAGATTTGTCTTCTATGAATGCTCTGATTTAACGTTTCATCTGTTGCCATTAAGGATGTGCCTAAAGAGCTGTAATCACAGCTGTATAAATCAACTGTGTTATAAACCAAAGCTTCTCAAATTAAGGTCCCTGGACCCCCAAGGGTCCGCGAGAGGTATTTTGGGGGTACTCAAAAAAAAATTTTTTACTAAAATGTAAATTAGGTTTTTATATTTAAAAATGCATGGAGAACATTGAACTAATAAAATGGGGCAGCTGTTGTAGAGTGGTTTGGGGAGTCGTCCTGGAACTGGAAGGTCACCGGCTCGATCCTCCGTCCAGCTATGTCAGTTGTTGTGTCCTTGGGCAAGACACTTCACCCCTAATGCCTCTGATGCGTGTCCCATCAGTGTATGAATGTGAGTGGCACTGATTAGTCTCCATTGAAGATTGTACATGTTAGCTTTGTAGAGACCTAATAGAGTGCTGTGTGAATGGGTAAATGACAGATTGTAGTGTGAATTTCTTTCTTTCTTTCCTTCCTTCCTGCCTTCCTTCCTTCCTTCCTTCTTAGGATGAACCAAACTGTAAACTTTGCCACTCCTAATATTGTAGAATATTCTCTGTTTTTCTTTCTTTCTGTTTTTTGCAGCTTAAGGATGGCTTATTTCACCTGCATGGAGAGCTCTTTTGACCAAATGTTTTATTCACATCAAAATCTTCCAAATGCAAGCAGCACACCTCAAATCAACTCCAGGTCTTTTGTCTGCTCGGCCCTGATTCACACCTTTTGCTCACAGGGGGTGGAGTCATACTCACAAGCATTGTAGGAGGGGGACAACTGGACACCAAAGGTTGAAAGTGTGAATTCTGTGCCTCTACGCTTTCTCCAGACTCTGGGACCTTGATTTCTAAAAGACATGCAAAACTGACTTTAATTTGAAAAGAGGACACTGGACCTCTGAGCAACAGTCCAGTGCTTTGCCTCCTTAGCCCAGGTAGGTGTCTGTCTGTGTTTTTTATGCCTTGGTTTTCGTAGTGTTTCAGTGTTTATTTTCTCAGCTGCCCCGCCCTCGCACACCTGATCACCCTTGTGTCTCTTCCAGGTGTTTCGTGTTTGTGATCATTAGTTTACCTTTATATTCAGTGTCCTGTGTTCAGTCTGTGTGGAACTGAGTACATAGATAAATTTTATGATTATGTAAGTTTATACCAGGCCAGGCCAACCAGTAGATCGGGATCTACCGGTAGATCTTTAGCTGGTTAGCAGTAGCTCACGGAGCAATGGATCACGGAGCTTGTAGAACGCAACAGTAACATTGCAGCCTTAAACGCGCTCTTCGCAACCTTTGTTTAACATTGCAGTCTTCAACGCACCCTTGTCAACGTTTGTTTAACATTGCATTCTTGAACGCACCCTTGTCAACGTTTGTTTAACATTGCATTCTTGAACGCACCCTTGTCAACGTTTGTTTAACATTGCATTCTTGAACGCGCTCCAGTCTTGCTTGTTTTGGGTGCTGTGAAACAGCACTCCGAACATGGTCTTGCGGGATTAGGGTCATGTGTTAAAACATGGCAGCAAAGTGGAAAAAAATGATGAACGAAAGACAGCTAACAAGCAAATAAGAACTTATTATTTTCACCTGGAGTGGGAAGAGGGCTCATGTAATTCGAGCGCTCCCTTGACTTGTCCAAAGAGGATAAAGTGGAACAGCATTTCTTTCAAAAGAATGCACAGACACTACGAGGTGGATTTCCCCTCCTAAGGTAAGGCTGCTATGGTAATGCAGCCCCGTACCTGCCTCAACACACGTCTTTCAGCGATGACGAAGTTATGAAAGAAGTGTTGCAGACGTGCTTTTCTGTGATTTTAAAAATAAAAGTGAGATTGTGGCTGCTATAAAGATGTGCAGTTGTCCACCAGGATGGATGGATGTGGCCAAATTCATGTCAGTGTTTCAGTCTGGACTGCTCTGGGTTGAAAATTAGGTTTTTGCTCTGCAAAATGACATTGGGATCAAATCCAGAGCAACAAGTCACATGGATGGAGAGTTCTGGAGTCTGCTTTCTCTCTCATGAAAATCATCAAGTCCAACAACAGATCCACAAAGACTGGTGATCATCTGGAGACCTGCTTACACCTTAACCACCTCATACTGCCTAACTATGAGACCCTGGCCTCTCAGTGTCAGAAGTCCCCCTAAGGTAGACATACATTTTTTACATTATTTATTTATACATTATTTTTATATAGCTTGCATAAAAAATTGTCTCCTTTAGACTTGTCACAATGTGTCTATATGCTGTTTTTTTATTATTATTACATTTTAGACCAGTCTTATACACTGACTGGCACCTTTGTGTTTTTTACTTATTTATTTATTTGTTTGTTTTGCAGTTTGGGTGTGCCCTTGTTTTCCGTACCTAACATGGCAGTGTGTGTGTCTTGTTTATAGGTGGTGAACAGGTGGAACTCTTTGAATGGTTTGGAGTCAGCAGTCTGGACCAGTGAGGGACTGAGCTCTTCAGCACCTGCAGATGATACCATCCTGCAGGCTGCACAGAGATGGAGGTTTGAAATAGTTGTTGGAGGTATGTGAATCTGCACCATCGTAAGTCACTCTTTGTAATAGTATAAATGAGAGAGTTTTATATTGTGTGCTTTGACTTTAGTTTTTTGTTTTGTTTTTCCTCCCCTGTATGGAGAGAAGAGAGGAGAGTTCTTTGAATAAATGGAGATGAGTTCCCGTGCTCCAAAGTTATTTGACTCTGTGGTTCTCACACTGGACAGGTTTCCAGCCCTCATAGCTCGCACGTTACAGGGAGTACTAATTGAAGGAGGTTAAAAAAAATATCCTTTTTGTTAGAGCATCACTTTTCTGTTTCTCTGTCAGGAGTTAAGTAAGGATTTTCTCTTTTCTTTTCTTTTTTTTTTGTAGGTAAATATATGGTGAAGTAGATAGTTTTGTTTGACAATACTTTAAATTAAATAAAACTAGCAACACATTACGTTCTGTTTTATTTACTTTAAAGAAGTAAGGAGTAGGGAGACGAAAAAATATGTTTTTTGATACTGAGACTGGACAAGTAGATCTCGGCAAACTGCTGACTTCAAAAGTAGCTCTTGGTTCAAAAAAGGTTGGGCACCMCTGGTTTATACAGATGCATCCCAGAATCAATCAGGTGATACAGGGGTAGCAGTCATAGTTCCAGAATTTAAAATTCAAATAGAGAAGAAGCTGAATGAAGGGTTATCTGTTTACACAGCAGAAATGGTTGCAATAATGTTGGCAATAGAATGAATTGAAGAAGTAAGACCTTTAAGAACTGTCATATGCTCTGATTCAAGCTCATCTTTRATAAGTATACAAAGAAATCACTCAGAAAGTCATCCAGATATTTTAATAGACATACAGCAAATACTATATCAGATACAGATGATGGGGTTAATACTTGTGTTTTTATGGGTACCTGCACATATAGGAGTGAAAGGAAATGAAATGGCAGACAAGAAGGCGCCAAAGATTCTGCAAGGAAGAATGAAATTAATATAAGAGTTTCATTTAGTAAGTCAGAGACTAAAAGCATTATTAAAAAAAAATTAGAGAAAAATGGCAGAAGAAGTGGAAAGAGGATGTAAAAGGAAGATGGCTCTATAGAATTCAAAGAATGGTTGGAGAAAGTAGAAGAGGTGTTGGAAGAAATAGACTACAGGAAAGAATAA